CCAGGAATGGGGCCCCCCCAGGCCCGACGAGGGGGTCCCTTCTAAAAAAGAAATTTATAACTTCAATTACGTAGTGGAACGCCACGTAAAACCGCGTCTTTCACTTAAATTCCTATGTAGAGATTGTTGGGTATACTTTTGTCTTGACTTTGTCTTAAAAGAAATACCTATAAAATGTTTAGTGAGGGGAACAAATTTGCATAATGAACAAAATGACCAGTATCATCCGATAAAGTATGCAAAAAGTAAACAAGAGTTATTTACACTTTGGCAAATTGCTGGGTTACTCTATTGATCTGATTTCAATTGATAGATTTGGTTCAGGGAATATGGAGTGACTCGACATCAATAGGAGAGAGTCGGACTGTCCTCTCTCGAGAGGAGGGAGTAACAACTCTTTGTCGAAGAATAGGCAATCCGCGTCGATCGATGGTCTACGATTGTGTTGTTACGTTTACCTCAAACCATCTTTATATGCCATATTAACATTTCAATAAATGTCTACTACCGTATAAATAACTTCTAAATGTAATAATTATAAGGGTTTTTATAAGTTTTCCGTATTAAGAAGTTTTGAGGACGACATTTCATACTGGGTGTCCTCTGATAACACATCATCACTCAACCATCATTATTCCGGACATATTATGGCACTTAACTTATAATTAACATAAGTGAATAAAGCCTCAACGTGAAACCGTCTGCCAGGACTCGTGCCGAGCAAAGAGAGGGCCGACCGCCTATCTCTGTTTACATTACGCACAGCGTCGGCCTTCCTCGCGCGCATAACCCGAAAAAACTAATTTTACACTAACTATCAACTACAGTCCGGAGTGGTGCCATATATTCTTTGCAGTAAAAACAAGACTTATTGCAAAACAGTACTAAATAACCTAGGCACTTTAGTCTTACGAGGGGTTTATAGCAAGGGTTGAATGACTTGATTCGGTCTTCTGGCAGAGTAAAGCATCTGGGCCAGCCAAACTTCCAAGGAAGTTAAGTAAAAATATATATCCGATAAATAAAACTGCTTGTTTGAATCCGCACTCTTTCCGTTCGCACCGCACTCACGCACCTATGCCCAAATTAACCCGCACTGAGAGTGCCCGAGTTACTCACTCACAACCCGTCCGGGACATTGTACAAAAGAAAGTCGAAAACCTTCCGTTTTGCATCGTTTATGCTACATCATGCAAAACATTGTATCCCTGAGACATATTGTGCTGGAAATTCACAAATAAAATGATTATACAAAAAAAGTTAAACGCAGTTCATCTAAAGAGGAGTTTAAGTGCCCGTTTTTCAATCGTAAGACTTGCATTGTATTTTCATGGCCGCGCGACACACGTCGGTACAGTAATCTTCTATAGCAGACCTTTCCGACACAGAGAGGGACGTCGTTAGAGGTAGTCTGAGGTTTGATACCAGCAAAGGAAACAAAGTCGGTTGTTTAGCACTTTTCATTTTTCCCCAAATTTGGGTTCTTTTGCGTTTAGAGTAACGCCACAGTTAAAGACTGTTGCACTAAGCAAGTCTAAACAGGTGCACACATCGATTTTGTGAAAGGACCAATCGAAGCGATCTTTGCATTTAGAGTTTTACCGTTTTCTTTGCCGCATTTTTTGCAAATGTCTCTTCTGCTGTTGCTTAACAGTGAACGTGCTTCGGTTGCTAATATGTTTTTTCTTTACTATGGGGCTTTGTATCTTTATGGAAGTTGCCTCACGCAGCTACGACAACTCTAACCTTTCTACAAATTTTTGGTTGGAGCAGAGCGCACACAGCAAACCATTTACGGGACCCATTTTAAGCATTGTTTCCTTCCTAATCTTTGTGCGTCTTTATTTGTATCAATTTTGTTATTTTAAGAAAAGACAAATTACTATGTTCCATTCGTTATCTTTATGTTTTCCTTCATGAGGACACGACGAAAAGAGGCGACAGAATGAGAGACAGTCGGACTTCGTTTTTCTCTAGCTTGCGGTTCCTTTTTTGTGTCCGAAAGTATAAATTTTTGTCGTCTTTCCTCCACAACAACGCACGAAAGGCGGGCGTCTCCAGTAGAATAACCCTATCTCTGGGTTGTGTACCGGACAGCGTTGGGTTAGTGCACGCTCGTGTCCCGGTCTTCTTTGCGGCCATTTGTTTTTCAGAGAAAGTCAAACTGCATCCACAGGCCATCGCTTGGACCGAAGATTTGTTGTTCAAGCGAATAGAATAAAGTTTAGAACCGTCGCGTCGTCGTGGTGTGGTGGAGGAGGATACCCCGGGAAACAGGCGACTCACCGGGTTAGAAGGGGCGGATCCAATGGTTGTGTGTTCAAATTTTCATTACAAATTCTATATCAACAATATCAACCGGATTCTTACAGTATAAAATAGCACTTTACCTCTGCTTACACCTATATGCCATTTTATATGCTGTGAGCTGATTATCGAGCCTTCATTGTAAGAGACGCGGGTACACTGTGTATGTGCGTATTCCACTGTAGCGCCCGGTACATTAATGGGAAACCCTAGTTTGTACATGTTCAATACATGTTTTAACACTATACACATGAACGTTTCTTTTTTCGGTTCACCAAAAAAAGATCTCACTCCAAGCTGAACTCAAAACATGTAAAAACGTGTATGTTCATGGATACTCTCTTACCAGGAAGAAGTGTGTAGGTGCATGCCAAGCAGGTCTGGTCGGACGCATTCCTCCAGCTGAGCCCCCATAGGCTGCTGCAGCACTGCTCCATCGGCATGAGAGAGGCGTTATGAACACCAGGGAATGCATCACAACTCCATGTGGAAAAGCACTGGCCACGTGCACCCACACCTGGGAAGTAGAGAAAGAGAGAAAAGGTTAGAAACAAGGTTGAAGAACTTAAATAGAGAGGATGAGGGTTAGAAAAAATTAACGCTTTGTAAAAATGTATCTTTAAAGTACTTCTCAAATAGTGAGTGGTGTGTTTTTCAATGAATCCATTCAATGATAATGTTTTACATTTTGACAAAAGTAACTGTTACAGTAACATATCTAATGTAGGGTGTCTCCTATTCAATTTGGTTGGTTCAATTGGCTTTGGTTACAACCTTTGGTTACAACCTTTGGTTAAACTAGCTACTAAAAAAACAATATGTCAAATATGAATGTCATCCGCTGCTTCATTTTGAGTAATTCCCACCCTTCCCTCTAAATCTTTTAATTGTTTCCATTTCCCCTCATCAACCTTGAGTAAATAATTGGTCAATTTTATACCTTCCATGCCAGGAAGTCATCTGTACCTACCGTCTATGTACTATGCTGCTTACCCTGGGAAATGTACCTTTGTCTGTACCTTATTTAAATCTAATAAAATAACATTATTGTTCTTTATTATTGATTTTTTTCTTAATTATTATCTCATATTTAGTGAAGTACAGTAAATATGTCTAACTTGTAGACATTTGTAGTCAGGATATAATGTTTCATTTCAGACTTTTAATAAGAACAGATTACTTTGATTCTTGTCCTTACCCTCAGAGCAGCGTGGTCCGCCCCAGCCCTCACAGCAGGCCTTCACGGTTTTGTTTACCATCAGGTTCTGTATCTCTGGGAGTCTAGGATCCACAGACACAGCAGGGGAAAGTAAATATACTCACAATACTGCATCACTGCAAATGTTAAGAAGAGTGTTTTCTTCAAATTCTCCTTCTTTTGGAATACAAAAGCGTATATGAGCCAGTGCTCTGAATTGATTCAACAAGTTTCCCTTATTAAAGCAAGTTATTGGATACTTACACACCTTGAAAAGTTAAATATTTACTCCAACTAACCAAATGGAACTTTTAAGAAACATCAAACATTGTTATAGAGAAATGTCTGCCTTTTATAAAGCCAATCAATCCTAATCAAGTTATTTCAACATGAGGATGCAACATGCACATAGGATCCTGCTATTCTCCCTTGACCCACCACCACACACAGGGGCCCTTCATAACCAACAGGAGTCACTGTTGGAGCAACATGGTTAAGACACCTCGCCACATTCTCACCAAAACACCTTGTCAATGGAGAAAATGTGATCTGGGAACATGTTTCAAAGTGGCTTTTTCATCTGATCCACACTGACAATACTGTGTTAATCGTTAAAGCTTTTTCATGTACTGATTCACCGTTAGTGACCTTGTTTAACAAAAATTTGAAAATACATTTCACTGACCACTCTTTATACTTACTTGTACACGAAACAGGATGCCTTTGGACCCTGTTGTTTGTAGTACAGTGCGATGCCATCGTCACCTCCATGCTTGACGCGCATCCTGTCCACATCTAGTCTCCAACCCTGGGTGTTGAACTGATACACCTCTGAGCAGCTCACTTCAAGCTGCAGACGCGGGGAAAGAACCCGCTCCACCCTCTCCTCCACCGTGTGTTCACACAAGTGTCTGGAGCACCAAACACAGTTTTAATGCCCACTTGTATTTTTTAAGTGATCTGTTTAAATCAAGTTCCTGAATTCCCTTTAACTTATGTTCTCTACTGGTATAACAGTCCTCATTATAAAATACTTAACAAGACAAAGATAGTAAGCGATGTGTTATTTGATAGTGAAAATGTAAATACTCATCCAGTTTACTTAAAATACGCCCGCTTACAATTCTTAAAAAGGTGCCCGACTGATTTAGTACCCTGATACAGCAAATAGTTTAGCACTACATTATATTCTCATTAGCCACAACTGCAAATTACTTGCATGCACACCATTCTAAAAAAGATACATTCATCTATTTAGAATTATCCTTCACCTTACAGATCCACCTTAAATATTGATTCTTATGTGAGTTTTGGATTTTAAACATCTACTGCAACAAGTATCTCTAATGAACCTGAGTTGGGCCGATTGTTTGGGCTCTTTTGAAGCATTATAACTATATGAATGTACCATTATTGTGCTGTTTCAGTGGTTTACATTGTGATATCTGGTGAATTTAGCTCATTACGGTTGTCACATATTATCTTTCTCACCTTCCTCATCTCTATACCCGACTCTACTGTCTACAAAATTATCTTAAATGTTTACTGGTCTCATGCTCACCCCATTCCCATCACTGTCTGCAGTCCAAGCAGAGTCAGTAGAAGGGTCTCCAAGGCCCTCTGCTGAATGTTTCTGCTTAACGTTCCTGTACAAAAGTTTCAGTGCAAGTATTTTATAAATCAAGTAAAAAAATCAAATCAACCTAATTTGTCCTGATATTTAACTATAGATGACTGAAAATGTTTGATCATCATATGTTGTCATTGTGAGTGATCAAACAAACCCATCTAAAATCCCTTAAATGTTTACACCTTTTCTGTAATTCTTGCTGGTACAATTAAAAAAGTGCACTTACCTTTGAAGTGCTTTTGGGAAATCTGGGCCATTATAAATCCTTGGCCTGGTAATCAATATTTAGCTTTTGTTCATTCACTTTCCTTGTTTTCCTTTATTATTTTCCATGTTGCTCCATCCAACAGCATGTAATACACTCCTCTGTGATACTTTGCCTTATGGGGGGAGCGGAGCCCCAGATGCAGCGTTTTAAATGTGGGGGTCGACTCATGGGATGTACAGCATCTGAACCTGCTGCTATTGGATACAAGTGGTAAGGTCACAGCTGGATAGGCAGGCATTGGTCCCCCGACCTGTGACGGACACATCCACTGACCTCGCCCCGTCAAACATTACAGGACACTGGAGGTGATGGCGGGGGTGGTGGAGCCTCAGCCACAGAAGAAAGAGATGTTTGTCAGAGCCTAATCCTGTAAAGAGAAACGTTTCGGGAAGGATGATGGGGGAATTTATTCAATGAAGCTTGTCAACAGACATGGGGACTGAAGGCTTTTAAACTCACCAATATCCCAGTCTGACCTCCTGACCCCACAGTGAGGTGGCCCAAACACAGCTGTCACCAGGGTACATGTTAGCCTGAGCCCAGAGGAGAGGAAGGAAAAGCTACTGATGTCACAAGGGTAGGATTTAATGGTATAAGCATAACAGTGCGTCATAATTGACTTCCCAGCAAACTCTTCACTTGAGCCTTGGATACATTGTGTTTTCTTTATAGTGATAGCAATGAGCTGTGTCATGTTGTTAGCTCACTGCTTCATCACCATTTCCTAGAAGCAGGATGAGGATAGAGAAAGGGAGGAAGGTTGGAGAAACAGGTTTCCGTGGTGTAAAGTAACTAAGTGCAATAACTCAAGTACTGTACTGAAGTACAATTTTGAGGAACTTGTCCTTTATTTGAGTATTTACATTTTTTGCTACTTTGTAGTTCTACCCCGCTACACTTCAGAGGTAAATATTGTACTTTGTATCCACTACATGTAATTCCTTTAGTTACTTTGCAGATATAGATTAAGGATAAACAATAAGACTGACACTTAGCTATGACTTTAGTTACACCTGGATTAAATTCACAAGCTATCCAGCAGTAAATAAAGTAATTTAAATTAGTTCCAACTTTACCAGCTCTGATAATCACACCAATACATCAATAATTATAATCAAAACATACAAAATATATGATTGGGAAATGGTCTAATCTGCATAATAAGTAGCCTACTTTTATGAACAATACTTTAATGCTGATATTTTGAAGTTTTACTTGTAACATTTTGCTACAGTAGATTATGCTTTATCTCTGCTTTATCCCTTTATCAGTGCACCTTTATCTATGTGCACTGCTCTGCCACCTCTACTAGATCTGCATTTGGTCGTGTTTGTGCATGTACTGTTCTGTATGTCCTCTATGTTTGTGCATGTATATCCTCCCTGTGTGTGTAATGTGTGTAAACACAATAGAATCCCGCGATGTGCTTTCGTGCTAATGCTAACGACATTATGCTAATGATAATATTGTTTGCTCACAATGCAAATTCAATGTTTGCCTGATGGTGTTGCTTCTGTAGAAAAAAGGTCAGCCAAACTTACCACAATTTGTCATGAAAGTATGTGTGTAGTGTCCCAAATGTCATGTTAATAATAGACGTTTTTAAAACAATCCTGTAAGAAGTTTAGGGGGAGAGAGGGGTAGTTAGTTGCAGCATACCATATTACAGCACTGGTCTTTTTAAATTTACAATATACAACACAGGTCTTTTTCTTTATGAAGATTGCTAAGAATACATTGTTTCGTTTTATGTGGAGGGAAACATTTAACTTTAAGAGAAACCGTTTTTATATTCACCATATCTGGAACAAATCCCAGTCAATCTGATATCTGCTCAAATTAGCAATTTTTGTATTGCACTGCACTGAAACAGATTTATTTAGTTTCTTATTGTATTATAGCTTGAATACATCATTCATTTAATTTTGCTTGTTTTAAATCCTTTTTATATGTTTCTTTTTACATTTCGATGTGTTTTTACTTTTTATTCTTAATTATTTTCATGTTGCACTTTAAATTGCCTTGATGTTGAAAGGTGCAATGCCTTTTTTGTATTTACCAATTCAGTAGCCTACAATGTCTGGTAGGAATATTAAGTTTGCAGTCCTTGATACACACAGCTTGGCAATATAAACAGTAATGAGTGTAACAGTCCTCAACTAGATCTAAACAAACCATTGTATCACCCACATTGACACTTTCTTATTTTTTTATTTAATGGAAAAATAAATGTACAAACATTTCAGACATGAATTTAACATAGTGGTTCAGAGAAACAATGATCACAATGTAATTGTATACAAAATACATGTGTACCAATAGTTATAATTGTAATGATTCATATATTTTTAATGGGGTAGGCCTACATACATTCCATAAAAATAACAAGGAAGAAATAATAATTTGAAAATTAAATATAGTCCCACTTCTTTAAAGAGCTTACGAAATGCTATTAGCACCTGTTAGTGGGCTTGGTCTATCATAGAGGTTGCATTTGTATTGTGAAATGTGATATGATTTTTTTCATTATTGATGTATTTTCAATACATCACTATTATAACAGCATACAAAAGTTGTCACGATCGTTCGTCGCGAAGGAAACATCAACAGCATTTAGCAGAATGTTGCACGTCTGCACAGTGTTATATTTTCCCAGCTCAGAGTCAGTAAATACTGTGTAGCTAGTATTGGAGTACAAGATAGATGCAAGCCTGTACAGGTAGAGTTATTTAAAGCATAAATGAGTCGGTTGGGTTCTGGAGGTGTGGTGGTTACAGCAAGTGTGCTTGGTTGGCGTGGCCAGTGCCTGGGGGTCAGGCTGAACAAAGGACCGTTTGTCTATGTAAATGTGGTCTTTAAAAAAACAAACATTTACTGACCTTTTTGGATAGCTTAAAGTAATGTTGTACAATTACAACTGGGGACCTTACAGGGTTAAGGGCTATTGTTTATTGTTATTTACTTTAAGATGTTTATTTCTTAACCAATAATTTGATTTAAAAACTCTTATTTAAATGATGTGTGTGTGTCTCTGTTTTCCTGATGATACACTGAGAGAATGAGCTCAACAGTCTATATATTGCACTACATTTGTATAATGTAAGCTTCGTTGCATAGCCGTGGGAACATGTTTCAAATGGGGGGGGGGGTTCTGTGGGGATGACACATGGGATGACACCATCAGGCCCAGTTCTGACCAATTTGCTGCCCTAGGCAAGATTTTTGCTGGTTCATTTACAGTTGCAAGAAAAAGTATGTGAACCCTTTGGAATTACCTGGATTTCTGCGAACATGAAATACTGTGAGTCTCAGTTGTGACGGAGAATAGAATGAGAGACAATAGAAGACGTGTACAAAACACGAACGAAGAATTTATTATTTGAAGTGTGTTAAATTCTTCAAGAGTTCGTTGACAGTAAGAAGCGAAAATAACATGTGCATAAGTACGATTATACAAAAAACAGTCAAGATACAAGTCGTGGAAACTTTCATCAAGGGTACGAAGGAGTTTTTTGTGAATATGAAGACTTACTCTAAGTTTATTATTTGGTTCGATGACATGGAATTCAACGGACAACACAGGTTCGTCACACCATATTAGTTTCAGCAGTCATGCCAGGGAGGACGAAGTCGTAAACCTCTTTTGCGAGATACTTTGGTCTTAGTTACCTGTCGACGAAAATTGGTGGAACCGGAACATCCTGCCTCCGGGCTAACCAGTTTGTCACCCAACATTTATACTGCTTTCTTGTCCAACTCTTCCGTTCCGGTCTGTTAAGAAGATCTTCTCGAAATGCTTTACGTTCCTGTTCTATGTTTTTTTTGTCGTAAATCTATGTTAAATCGATATATATTAAACAGACTAAGAGCAGAGAAGAATGAAAGAGAGAGAGAGAGCGAGTGAGAGTAGCGGGACATTGATGCAACTAAGTTGCTAGAATTACATGTCAAATTTTACTACGTAACAAATTCATTGATATGGACCAGCCTGGTGGTGGGACGTAATCGTCCATTTGTTGTTTACCTACTTGTTTATGTTAAGTTCATTTTTGGTAAAAGGTGTCAGTCGTCGTGTAACATTTTCGACAAACTATGTTGAAATGTGTAAGTTAGGTAATTCATTTCTAATTGGGGAAAAAGTGGGGCCAATGTAAAGGTAAACGGACTGGGACTCTCCGAGTACTCCATTTCCTGAAGATCTCACAAATCTATACAGAGTGAAATCAGATCAATAGAGTCACACAGAGTTTGCCAAAATAGTGGTTAAATGGTGTGGATATATTAATAAATCCTATTTATTTTTGTACAAACTTTAGTAAGGTTACATATTGATTATCCTGTCATTTGGTGTATAGGAAATTTTGAACCTCCCTATTTTTTTATACCTACTTATTTAATTACGAATTCGACCCATTGTTATTCTATATGTCAACGTTCTTTTTCATACACTTGGGAAACCTTGATGACCTAAAGACGTATTTACCCAAGTATTTTACACAAGACTAGAAGTAGATTCAGTGTTGTTATCTGTTTGTGTCAGGACGAATTCGATTTTGTGTGTTTGTTATACAAAAATACAAAAACTAACTTGTGTGGTACATTTGTAAGTGTCACGTTCCACCCCTTTTTTCATAACTGGGAACTCTAAATTATTGACCAACTGGGGGAAACCGTCGTTATTGGAGTTGGTTTGCAATAGATAGCAACGTATAGTCTTGGAGGTGTTTGCCAGTCCTCCTTTAAAACCTTGTAAGGAAAATGTTTTGACAAAGTCAAGTCGTATTAAGAACCCTACAGACCACACTTGAGAGAGAACTCCAGTACGGTGTCGTAGAGTTAACCCAACCTCCCAGTCCTGAGACTGACCCGGGAGGTCTTTCCGGATAAAAGAAGACAACTTGCGGTAAGACTAACAACTAAATGAAGACACGAAACCCAGCAACAGACAACGTTAGTGAGGGTAGAAGACAACTCGAAGGTTAACCACCTGTCTACCGGAAATTCAAGAGGGTCGTTTTACAAACTATTGAACTCTAAGTAAAAAGACAGCTGACTACCGTTAGACAGGACGGGACTCCGTCGTCGGGGTTTGGGTACTACGAGGGAGGTGGTATGAAGTGTCAACCCTATCCAAAAACTACAACCCACACGACACGGAAAAAAAGAGGTGTGTATCGCAACACACAAGAAGGTCTGTTGAGTTGAAACCTAAAGTAGACAGGTGTCTTATAATAACGGTCATCACGACACCTTGTAGGTCCAGCGAGAAAACGGTTTGAAGTTACACGTCTTAGTTCTTGAGTAGTGAAATACTNGTGGATAGAGCGTTTGTGTTCGGATCAAGGGAGCACAGGTTCAAACCCCACTGCAGTCAGCATGTCGTTGTGTCCCTGGGCAAGACACTTCATCCCAAATTGCTATTTGGGATGAAGTGTCTTGCCCAGGGACACAACGACATGCTGACTGCAGTGGGGTTTGAACCTGTGCTCCCTTGATCCGAACACAAACGCTCTATCCACTGCGCCAC